GATATGTTGTTTGATGTTATTACTTAAACTTGGAATAATAAAAGGACTACAGACTAAAACAGCAATTAAGAAAAATGAAAATGGAGTGGACACCTCAAGAAGAAGGCTTACGAGAAATTTTAACACTTTTGAAAGAGTCTCAGTCGCCGGACACAGCTACTCAGAGAGCTGTTCAGCAGGTACTTTTTTATCTAAGAAAAATTAGGTGTTATTTTCTAAAACAAACCTACAACTATTTCTTTGTCTGTTCATTTTAAATTTATAATTAAGGTATGTTACAGTGCTAGAAAATCTTAAAAATAATAAAGGGTTTTTGGTTAATATCTTTTAATAGGAAATTACTGATCAATAATCAAGTTATTATTTTACAACTATCTACAAAGAAGTTCTAAATTTCTTTCAAGTTAGTATTAAAGATTAAAAATATTCATGTAAAGTAAAATTTTAAACATACGAGGAATGCATGGATAAACAAAAAAGGCTATGTGAACTTTAAGCATTTAAAGTAAATTAAAACAATAACAGCAGCATTAATTTAAATCTAAAATATTATGTGACATTTATCTTTTAATTACATGAGGGATTTAACAATGATCAGTTAACAGTATTGTTTAGTTTTCAAATACCTACGTAGTTTGTAATTGCATTTTTACTAGTGACACAATTTGTTAGCCCTTTTTAATGTTCTTTCGAACAAATGTGAATGCTTTAGTTTTAAAGCCATTTATTAAATTTTAATTCAGAATAGAAATGAATTGATAGATTGCATGCCCAGTATTGTTTAAAATTCAGTGAGTACACATTTTTTCTCATTTTTTTTTTAGAAACTAGAACAGCTCAACAAATATCCTGATTTTAATAATTATTTAATGTTTGTATTGACAAAACTAGTGTCTGAAGATGAACCTACTCGATCTCTAAGTGGCTTAATACTTAAGAATAATGTAAAATCGCATTTTGATAGCCTAGTTCCAAGTGTAGCAAACTTCATAAAACAAGAATGTTTGCAAGCTGTGGGAGATCCATCACCTCTTATACGAGCAACTGTAGGAATATTAATTACTACTATTGCGAGCAAAGGGGATTTATCGAAATGGCCTGAGCTTTTGCCATCATTGTGTAATATGTTAGACTCACAAGATTATAATGTTTGTGAAGGTGCATTTGGGGCTTTACAAAAAATCTGCGAAGACACCGCTGAGGCCTTAGATGCGGACACAGTTAACCGCCCTTTAGAAATACTTATTCCGAAGTTTCTTCAATTTTTTAGTCATTCCAGTTCAAAAATTCGTTCATATGCTATTGGATGTGTTAATCAATTTATAATTCAAAGGTCTGAAGCTCTTATGGTTCTTATAGACTCCTTTTTAACGGTAAATATATGTAAATTCTAAACCATTTTTATATTAAAATATATACTACCCAGTCTTTCAAGTCTACATTCCTTCTGTTTTTTTAGAATTTATTTCATGTAGCAACAGATGAAGACCCAGAAGTACGGAAAAACGTGTGTAGAGCTCTAGTAATGTTGTTGGAGGTGCGAATGGATAGATTGATTCCTCATATGCATAATATAATAGAATACATGCTGCTGCGTACTCAAGATCCTGATGAAGGTGTTGCATTGGAAGCTTGTGAATTTTGGCTTACGTTTGCCGAACAACCAATATGCAGAGACGTTTTAGGTTCTCATTTGAACCGATTAGTTCCCATACTAATTCGTGGTATGAGATATTCTGACATTGATATCATTCTTTTAAAGGTATTTCTATGTGTTTATAATTTTGTAAGTTTGTAAAATAAAACGTTGCTCTTATACTAGGGTGATGTGGAGGAAGATGAAAGTGTACCTGACAGAGAAGAAGATATACGTCCTAGATTTCATAAATCTAAAACACATACAATTAAAGCTACTCCTGCAGCCGGTAATGTTAATTCTGCTGAGAATGGGTCCGCTGAGCAGGGAGATGATGACGAGGATTATGAAGATGGAGATGATGACAGTTCATTATCAGACTGGAATTTAAGAAAATGTAGTGCAGCCGCATTAGATTGTCTCGCTAACGTCTTTAGAGAAGACTTACTGCCTATTTTGTTACCTATTCTCAAAGAAGCGCTGTTTCATCAAGATTGGTTTATAAAAGAATCAGGAATTCTTGCATTAGGTATACCTAATTTATTTTCTTTACTTTTGCTGTTATAGTTCTCGTCACGTCTGACTGGACAATTAATTTACAGGGGCTATAGCTGAAGGATGTATGCCAGGAATGGTAGACCACTTACCAGAAATAATACCATATTTAATCGATCGTCTAAACGACAAAAAAGCCTTAGTTAGAGCAATAACGTGTTGGACCCTCAGTAGATATTCCCATTGGGTTGTATCACAACCTCACGAGGCATATCTCAAACGCCTCATGACTGAATTGCTCGAAAGAATTCTTGACAGTAATAAGAGAGTTCAAGAGGCAGCGTGTTCAGCCTTTGCCACCCTTGAAGAAGAAGCTTGCACTGAATTGGTTCCTTATTTGGGTTATATATTGGAAACTTTAGTTTTCGCCTTTTCGAAATATCAACATAAAAATCTTCTAATCTTATATGACGCTATTGGTACTTTGGCAGATTCTGTAGGGCATCATCTAAACAAACCAGAATATATAAATCTTCTCATGCCACCTCTCATAAATAAGTGGAACGTTCTTAAAGACGAAGACAAAGATTTATTTCCACTTCTTGAGGTAGTTTACTATTTATTTTAGCACGCTAACCGTTAACGTTTGATTCTAAATAAATATTTTTTAGTGCCTTTCAAGTGTTGCCACTGCCTTGCAGTCAGGATTTCTTCCCTATTGTGAACCTGTATATCGACGATGCGTGTCCCTAATACAACAGACTTTATATCAACATTTGGTAATCTTGTAAAAGGTTGTAAACGCTGTTGGTTATAATAAAATAAATTTTCAGGCTAATACGCAAAATCCAGATCAATATGAGGCCCCTGACAAAGACTTTGTTATAGTTGCATTAGACCTGCTTTCTGGTCTGGCAGAAGGTTTGAATGGTCATATTGAAAAACTGGTCGTTAATTCAAATATAATGGAACTGTTGCATCATTGTATGCAGGATCCAATGCCGGAAGTTCGGCAGTCATCTTTTGCTCTTCTTGGTGACCTTACCAAAGCTTGTTTCCAACATGTACGCCCTTGCATACCGGATTTCCTTCCCATCCTCGGACGAAATCTCAATCCGGAATATATTTCCGTCTGCAATAATGCCACCTGGGCCATTGGAGAAATAAGCATAAAGCTAGGTATGTGTTGGTATGGTTTATTAAATTTTTATAATCTTATGGTTTCGTTTTTCAATTTATTTAAGGTGCGGATACGTCACTGTATATACCTATAGTGCTAACTCAGTTAATTGAAATTATCAACAGGCCAAATACACCAAAAACATTATTGGAAAATACTGGTAAGAAAATATTTTTTAACGTTTTGGAGCATGGTAATCATTCTGTATCACATTAAATGTATTAACTTGTTTTTCTTGTTTTCAGGTATATGTATTTTGCAACGTTTGTAATGTTGTTTATTTCATATTAAGAAAGCGCTTGATATTATTTTACAAGGACTTGTATAAATATCACATTGTTTGAAAAAGTTATTTATACGGAATCCTTGTTATTGGCTATTTAATTATTAAACACTCAGTTTCATTTNCCTATAACTATAAATATGTATGCCAAGGGATTCCAAAAATAAGGTATTTGCTCATCTAAACAAATCCGACTGATATTTTCAGTTCAGATTCTTATAGCGAAAAGAAATGATGCTTTTATAAAGTGTCCAACTTTTAATATAAAAGGTACGTTAGTGTTGAATTTTATCATTTTAAAGCCCTATTCGTGATTTCGATGACTTAAAAATACTTCATAAACTGTATCATACTTTTTAAATAATGAATTTTTCAGTTTGCTAACTATTCTGATAACGATTAGTCATAAGTAGATGAGACAATTATTTAAGAAATAGTAAATTGTCAAATTATTTAAACATAGGTAATATCGCTTAACGAACCTTTATTAGTGTTGCTACCGGTAATCATTGGAAATGATATTTATTATTGGAGGCGATGTTTATAGATAGGTAATTTTCGAACAATATATTATTTTATTATTAGATCATATTAGTTAAAAAATTATTAATGTATTATTTTAAATATTTTTGCATATTTAAATGTTGTCGATATATTACTACAAGGATTTCCTCTGTAATTTAATTATAGAAAATACCTACCTATAGTGCCTAGTTAATAGTTACTAATATTAATATTTTCTTTGCATTATGCCGAAAGAAAATTGCCTGCATCCTTACTTTTTGAGTCACCTTGCCTGCCTTTACTTTGTTAATCATCACATCAGTCATTTACAATCATATAGATAATTAGTAACCAGTGCTGTATTTTATATGATTCCATCAATAAAAAATGTTTTTCACCGGTGTGTAAAATAGTAATACTACACATCATTCACGGCCACTCATGAATCATCTGTACGATGGGTTGTCTAATTGTAAATGTAATTTTCACCTACTTTCGCTCTGTCAGTTGTAACGTTGTAATGTAATTCTCCAATTTTAGTAAGTAATAATAATTTCGTTACCGTTTTTGGACTTGTAATTTAGAGTAGACCTTTGTATAATTTTACGTATTTATTTTTTCAGTAAATGATGGTGAATTCTGCCAGCAGTTTAATTCTGAACTAGAAGCGCTTGTTTCAAGGTTGGAAAACGTTGCAACAAAATTGGAAAACATTTGCTTACCATTTCAAAAATATACGTAAGTCGTTTTTAGCACTTTATATCAGAATAATTTTTACTTTCAACTAATTAATAAGCAAAAGTTATAATAATAAACAATCCTAAACATAACCTCAACATAGCTGAGAATTAAAATCAGTATCGTAAATCAAAAATTGATTTGGTGTGTTAAAACGTAACTATTTATCCACTTATTATGTTAATGGTTACTTTCTTATCGATAATTAACAGGAGAGAAAATTCTAGTCAAGTTTCCCAACCTATAACTTCCAGTGAAATAACAATTTCTGGTACAGTTATACAGGACAGTGAGAGCATTACAATGAGTGTGCAAGGATTTCAGAACATCATTCAAGGACCTCTGGCTCATTACTTAAACATTTCCCTACAAATAGGTGGAGATGTTGCTGAACAAAGCAAATATGTGAAGAATGCCTTTGATGCCCAGTTTCAATACCTTGTCTTTGCTAGTCAAAATAGGCAACCAGCTCAAGCTGACCAGATTGCCTTTCTTCAGCCAACAAGTCAACAAATTTCTAATATCCAGGATTATCGTGAAAAGCATCGTACTTCACCATTTTTCAATCATCTGTCTGCTATAAGTGAAAGTATTCCTGCCTTAGGATGGGTCACTATTGTATGTACTGCTTTATAAGACCAAAAAAAACCTTTTCTACATTATTTTAAATTATAGAGTCCAGCTCCAGCCCCATACATTAAGGAAATGAATGATGCTGGCCAATTCTATACCAACAGAGTTCTGAAGGATTGGAAAGAGAAAGATAAGAGGCATGTCGATTGGGTTAAAGCTTGGATTGAAACTCTCACTGAATTACAAGTAAGGCAGTCACAATAAATTGTTTTGTGTGATATTAAAATTTAATCTTGTATACTTTCAGAGCTTTGTGAAGCAGTATCATACTACAGGTTTAGTTTGGTCTGGTAAAGGTTCTGCTCCCACAAGTGGTGGTTCTATTCCACCTCCACCTCCACCTGGATGCCCACCACCACCAAGCTTTGAAAACTTTCACATATCTGACGATCCTGGAGTTGATCGTTCTGCTCTCTTTGCAGAAATTAATCAGGGTGAAAATATCACCAGAGGTGATGATTTCTTAGTTAGCATATACAACAGTCTTATTGTATTTTTTTAAGGTTTGAAGAAGGTGACATCTGAAATGCAGACTCATAAGAACCCAACTCTTCGTCAAGGTCCTGTTCCTTTCAAGCCACCAACGAATGTGTCCCCTGTTGGTTCTAAGCCTGCTGCAACAGTTAATAAGTCTCCAGTATTTGCTAGAGATGGCAAAAAGTGGCTAATTGTATGTAACTACTGCATCTTTTTTTTTTCATTGTACAATCGAATTTGTGATTCTTAGGAGTACCAGAAGAATAATCATGGTTTAGTAGTTGATAATGTTGAAATGAACAATGTTGTGTATTTGTTCAAATGCGAGAACTCAACTGTAACCGTCAAAGGCAAACTTAATTCAATTACATTGGACTCTTGCAAGAAAACGTCTATTGTTTTTGACACACTTGTCTCTTCTTTGGAGTTCATTAATTGTCAATCTGTGCAAATGCAGGTAATCATTTTTAAGAACATTTTGACCTATTAACAATTTTTAAGTAACTAGCTGTAGATTGACGTTCTAAACTTTGTTTTAAGGTATTTGGTAAAGTTGCGACAATTTCTATTGATAAAACTGATGGCTGCCAAATGTACTTAAGCAACAGTTCTTTAGATGTCGAAATAATAAGTTCCAAGTCTTCGGAAATGAATGTTTTAGTTCCTAAGGGTAACGGTGATTATGTAAGTATTGTTTTCTCACATGTAGACAAGTTTAAAGTAAAATTTTTAATACAGTCGGAATATCCCATCCCTGAGCAATACAAGACTACCATAGTACCAGGCAAGGGATTAAGCACCATCATAATTGAAAGCAAGGGCTAATTAAATTGATTTGAACGTTTTTTTTTCTTCATCTAATAATTTAAGTGTTTCCTTAATTTAAAAGTTTTTGTACGAATATTAACGTGTATTTATGACTGTTTCACTTTAAATAAACTTATTTTAAAATCCACAATTCTTTGTATCTTTCAAATAGTATTGAAAAGATATTTTAAAATATCACCACCACAAGCTAAAATAATTACCTATGCCATAATAACTAAAGAAATTATATTAAAATTAGTATTCTAGATAAGATGGAATAGTGTTTAATTAGGATCAGTTATATTTTCAAAGTAAAATAAAATCGGAATTAATACTTTTACCAAATTTCATACTTTAAGGTAATATGCAAATAGGTATTTTCATACCAATAAATGAATGTAACAACAACTATTTCTTTCGATTACCTATACTTTTAGGTAAAGCGTGCAGAACATTAACTTAACCTATAATTTTCGCCGCAAATAACTTTTTTTACAAGCAAAATTCACAAATAAAGGCATTTCTTCATTTTTATTTAAAAATCACAGTAGGTAAGCATGATAAAAAAGCCATGGCGGCCATTAAAGAAACTCACCGTTTCTGAAACAACTTGCTATGATTTTTTTACGACGAATTTAAGAACTTTTTCGATCGGCACGAAACTCAAAAATACTACAAATCAAATCTACACCATCTGAACTCACTATTTGAACACTTTGTAAAACAATTATATTTCATTTGTATTAATAAATTTGTAAAAAATTAAACTGCAACAGAAACTCACGTCACCGGTGCACGTCCGAACTCGCGATGCTACAATATTCAAACGAGTAACGTAAAAATACCTAGATAATCGACAATTTAATTCTATTATTTACACGATTATCAGTGGTGATTTTTGTATTTATGGTCCAGTACGTATTATTTATGGCGGGATAATATATTCAAACTGAATTTAAATTCACGCAAAATCGTAGAAAACAAAAGATAAATCAAGTAAGACACCTTCTCCCTCACCAGAACTGTTTAATAAAATTTTTAATAATAAAAACATAAGAAAAACTTTCAATATTTGATCTTTTATTAATTAAGTTTTTCGTGTTTTTAATAAAAAAAAATTAAACAGTTCAGTCTTTTGGTAACAGCAACACAGAAAATTGGTGCGACTGAAAAAAAGAGCAGTCATTTAAAAATTCCAATGTTCAACTGGAGAAACACTCGGTATACATACTATTAATAACAAGAATGTTTCAGATATCGCTTAATAATACACAGATTTTACTACATAATATAACAAATAAGAACGAATAGTATTTAGAAATAGAAGTTTAATAACAAATATAAACAAATTACAATATTGAAATCATGATATACAGAAATGTTCTGTTATCTAATAAACCGGAAAATTGGGTGGTTTCATTATTGGTTTAAAAAAATTTATGATGTTATACATACAATGAACACTTACGGTGTTCAATTAAAAAAGTGCACTTTTAACTTCAAACATCTTTTAAATCTGCTGGTAAATCATTCTTTGGATGTTTATTTTCAAAATGCTGCTTATATGTTTTTGGATCTGGCATTTGGGCCTGTAAAAAAAGTAAGTATTTAACAATACCTATTTTTTTTTCTAAATTCAATAAAAATAATGCATGTACTTTCATAATTTTTTTTAAAATAAAAAATAATGCTACTTTCAGTAGTGCGCCCTTAAAGTGAAAAACCATTAAAATGGTTTTATTAAATGGTAACAATTTAAATTATTTGTAAATGATAGACAAACTTTCTCTGTTAATTATACATTCTGTTCTTCTGAAAGTTAAGTTGACCACACCAATCACAAGATGAATTTTGAAGAATCAATTTTGAAAGCATCTAGTGGCTAGTTTACATGCTAATACCTTTCACTTATTATTACTGTTAATATTTAGATTTAAGTGAAGTACAAATAATCTTAAACATTTTCTAGTAAACTAACAATAATATACAAACAAATTTGCAACTAAAGAAGGTGTTATTATATAATATAGTAAACATTTCATTGTATATTTAGTAGTAAATATAAATTTTCAGGAAAATGAAATCACATTATGAACAACATTATTGTAATTGTAATGGATAAACAATTAACAAAATGAAATATTCATAATTTGAAAGTTAAACAATTTACTTATTTCAATTTTTTTTCCAACAAATTTGAATACCGAAAGTTTTTCATTTATCCCGCTTAAATTTTTTGCTTATTAATTGAGTAATATTCTATATAAAGAAATGTCAATAAACTCCAATTAATAGTGTAAATTAGAAAAATTTTTCAATATTCAAATATTTGCAATTTACCTTAAAAAAACACTAAAATAATTAAAAAGAAGTAAATTTACCTTGCACACAGCACAGACGAAAACTAAAGCTTTTTGTGCTGCCTTTTTTTGATCATTTGCGCTGTGACCCTGCTGTTTTTTCTGTTTTGCTAATTTTTCTTGAGCCTTAGCTTGAGACTGAAGCTTTTGCTGACCTCTAGCCATACCTGAATTTTTTCACTCACTAAAAACATTTCATCAATATAAAATATGATAAAATTTGAAAAGCGTTATACACGATATGCCTAAGCACTTATAAACGTGCTACTTTTATGAAATGCAGTGTAATGCAAAGGAATAGTAGTATAGTTTATGCTTCATAAATTACTAAATCAAAAACAGTTTCATTAGAAATTTAAATAAAATATATTTATGAATTTAACTCACCTTAAACTGCGCCTAAAAAGACGAACAGCTTTAGAAAGTAAATTACGGAACTATGTCGCACCAGTCTCCACTACACTTCTATACGTATTCACATTCAGTAAATACACTTTTCAGTGTTTAGAATTATAACGTATAAGGGGGACAGAGATAGTAATATAAATGACGCAGTATTACAACT